AACACCAAAGACCCGTCAGGATGCTTAAACTGTTACAACCAGTTTCCATTAAAAAACCGAGAAGTACATAACACTCAGAAAGGAAGCAAGTACATATTTGCTCTTTGTTGTTTTCCCCCTCTAAAAAAATTGTTACAAAGTCTTATGCTTAAACAGAGACATAGAAAAATCAGTGTATTCACTGTCTCCAGTTATTTACAGCAAAAATTACAGAGACAGCATACATTGTATTAGACCTTCCACAAGCATATATTAAAAGTAATTACATTTGAAAAAATATTTTTATTTTTCCTCTACATTTCTACAATACATACTCAGTTTTCTGTGGGTACAGTTTTCATTCTGGTGTGAAGCAGATAGTACTGTGTTTAGATGTGGGCTTTGTGGCTTGTAGACCTCACCTGTTTCTCTGTGTCGTCGTGACCAAGGGACCAGGACGTGCGCCATGTCACAGCCAGAGGAGTGTAGTCCAATGTAAGGATCATGCCGCCCAGTTGGGTGCAGATACTGTGTGTTTCCCTGAACTGGGCTCATTAAATTCCAGTGCTTTATTTTTGGTCATGAGAACCAAAACGGAGCTGCTTTTCTGACCTACTGGAGGTTGTGCTTGTGGCCCTGTGGGAGGCAAAGATTACTGGGGCCAGTTCACTTTGGAGAAATTTCAGGAGCTTAGGAAAACAGTGCACAAACAGACAGCCCCCACCTGCTGCATAGGAACCCATGGTCTGCGCTTGGGAGCGAGGGAGGACTACGCTCTCAGGATTGCAGAATGAATTCTTCAGACGCATACAACTAAGGAAGAGTGGGAACTTGTCACAGGTATTGAAGCCACATATTTAAAGACACACTGAGACTCAAAAAAATGTCAGTTGTGCCCTTGACTTCAGAGAAAAGTGGCAAGAAATCTAGCCTCCTGCCTCTCTGATGATGGGAGTTCAGGCAAGACAAATAAAAGTACCTCTTCTAAGGCATCACTAAATTGAATTTTCTTTCTTGTTTAGACGGCTGTGTTGTCCAGCTGACCCCTTACTGTATATATCTGTGAGTAGTGATCATTAAATATGGGAACCACAGTGGGAATCAGAAGGGCAAGATCCCTCTTTCTTCCTGTCCACCTTAGTATAATTCTGATAATGCCATTCTTGCTTGAGTCTGGCTAGACTTGCTCCAGTTGAACAGGATCCTAAGTGGGATTTTTGATTTAAGCCAGAGGTTGGGAGCTGGCAGTCCATGAGGTCCCCTCCTGTTCTGAGATAAGTGTGTTTGGTCTGCCTGAAACTCTGAATCACTTGCCACCATTTACAACTTGAGAGAGTTCATAAAATTCAGAAGCTCGAGCAATGTAGCTTCAGCCAAGTAGCGGGCATCCCGTTTTAGGTGGGGCATTTCCAGCTCTGCCAGCTTCCACCATGCTGCCTCACTCATCTGTACCTACTCCCTGGCCCTTTTACTTTTTTGAAATTTTACCCTCAGTTTTAAATGAACACAACCTCTGGTCCTGAGGCCTGCCCCACCCCCCGGAAAAGAAAGTTATTAACTCATTCCTGAAAGACCCCGTGGGCTCTTACATTAGCTCTTTGCTCTAGTTGCCACTGCGACCAGCATTGGCAAACAGAACATCAAATAGCACCTTATCTAGAGCAGATGGTGGGTTTTCCCCTCTCCTTTACAAAGGGTCACTCCAGATGTACCCTTTACAGTGTTGCTGTCCTGTTGAATGGTGCTTCTGCTGGGGCACATGCATCCTTGTCTGAATTTACTACCCATTGTAGTAACTTCATTGGGAACAAAAGTTTATAGAGGCAAAAAAAAAAAGTCAGGCAGAAACTATTTCTTCTAATTTCCAAATTCAGTAGAAGTTTTCCTTGCCTCTATAATAAGCAGAAACAAACAATAGATTGATGCTGACATTTGCATCTAACTGGTGGTTTTGAAAACACACCGGCAAGTTTTAGGTTGTCCTTCGGAACACAAGAATGAGTTTTGCATTCAAGCCCGGTACAAGTAGCACTGCAGCAAGGAAGAGCTGGCTCTCCACCAGTTTTCTCCAGATTGGCTTGACTGCTGGAAAGCTACATGTTGCAAAAGCCAGTCAGGATAGAAAGGATCTGCTCTCTACCTGGCATCTCCTGTTAATATCCAGACTTTGTTACAATTCAGGGTCTCTTAGATTCAGCCAAAGAAATCTAATTATCCAAGAGGCCACTGTATTTTCTGTTTAACTTACAAGTTCTTTAACCCAAAGCTCCAAAGACAGTGTTAAAACAAAGGAAATCCAGAAAGGATGTTTTTTAGAAACTACCACTCTAACCTCTACTTTTAGTTTAGGGATAAGAGAGCCATAGGCAAAGGGAATATTAGATGACCCAGGTCATAGAATACAGGGATATCTGTGGGAAGTCAGACTAGATTTGGAATCCCTTTATTCTCCTATTTTCCCTCCAACCTTTGCCCTTCTTTTTACAGACCACAGACAGGTACATTCCTGTGTGAATTTACGCGGCTTCACTTCCTTGTCAATTTCACTGAATTCCAGTTAGATTTCTGTATTTTCCTTGCTCAGGACTTGCACAGGAAACTCAGATTTGCTGGGAATTAAATATGCCTATTCCTATAAATGAGGCAGCTAGATTATTTGGCTCTTAGCAGATTTTAGAAAATGAAACTAAGTTGTTCTCGTGTATAACTATTAGGCAAATAGATTCAGTTTGGGACATGAATTTACACACTGGTCTGAAAGCCTTGTCAGAGAGGTTCTCTCACTGGCATCTTTAATTCATGCCATTTACATTTTGTTGTCACTTTCCTGTTTTTCCTCCTTCTTGATGTATCTTTTTTTTTTTTTAAATGAAATATCCCTGAGCGGATACAGTGCAACATCTGCATTAAGCATTGATTGTCATTTACAAAGCATGAAGCAAGATGCACAGAATGTGGATTCCTTCTTCCAGTGCACACCTTTCCATGAATGTGTTGTGAACATTTGTTAGTTCTTGGTGGGGAGGGAAGGAATTAAGTGCTGGGGTTGCATTGCTAGAGAGAAAGTTGTTCTTATCAAAATTTGAAAACACTTTGACATGTTGTCAGATGAAATGCTGAAAGGACAGTTTTTAAAAGGCTTTGTTACCTTGAAAAACTCAACTTGAAAATTTGGCAATGTAGCCCAAACTGGAAATTTCTTTCTCAACTGAAGTGGCTGAGCAACATACTGGTTTCCACTGCGTTGTTCTGGTTCAGTTGCTAGCTCTGTTTTCTGTCCCCTAGCTTCAAAAGGTTCATGCTGTCCCAGTGAAATGCTTGCAGTAGTGGAAATGACACAAATTCAAAGCCAGTACCTCCTGAGGCAAGTGTGGGGAACAATCTTTTTCCTACATCACCCATGGGACAAGAGCAGAAAAAAATTCTCTGCTCCTTCATCAACTGAGCCAATTTAAATCCTCCAAGGTAAACTGGAGGCCACAAATGATTCTCTGTGCAACTGAGCAGGAGTTACAGGCTGGCAACGGGAAACACGGCCAACAGAACAATGAAAACAAAGTTGGACATAAGTTCAAAGCTCAAAGGGAAACACCAAGTAGACACATTAAGCATCGCCTATCACAAGCCAATCATAAAACATACATTGCATTTGGAAACAGCTTGGTTTAATTGAGTGCCTTCCATTACCCTGTTTTCCTAGCAATCAGTAAAGTAATCTTTCCATTAGAAGGAAATATGACTCTTGGAATTAATTCTTTATACAAAGAGCTAGCAGGAGTGACATTTACACCAAAAAGAATTAAGTCCCTGTAGCAGCATAATAAGCAGTCTACAGCTGTCTTCTTAGAACCAAAGGTAATTTGGTTCAATGTAGTTAAATTAATTGAATATAACAGTAGTTGAGAAAGAGATTCATTATTTTAAAGCCTTTTTGTTTTTCCCCAGTGGTTAGGAATTCATCAATCATGAGGTGAGAAAAGGCTCTGTTTCCTAAAAGGAAAAGACTAACACTACTGTTTTGATCATCAGTCGGGAGTTCTGAGGCACCTTGGAGATGACTCTCAACCATGAACTTCAGGAGAGCATAGGATATGAAAAAAATCAAGGTTTCCACTGATGGAAATTTACAAAGTAGGTGTGTGTGTGTGTGTGTGTGTGTATGTGTGTGTGGTGTCTGACAAGGAGAAAATGGCAGGTTGGGGACTAGGCTACACATACACAAGTACATAATTTATTGTCTTCTACACAAACATCTCCCCTAATTTCCTTTTTAATTGTCTTCCTTTGGATCAGATAATACCACAGGCATAGGGCTCCAGGAAGCAGTCAGAATGCATGCCTTGCAATTTATGCTTTTCTGATGCTTAAAGTCACCAGAGACCTGGTGAAAATGGGAGAACTTGCAGAAAAAGTCCACACTTTCTGATTCTGATGTTACCAATGAACTCTGAACTTCTGATTCTGATATTACCAATGAAGTTTTACAAGTTGCTAAAATCAATCTTACAGTGGATGGAAGATATAATTTCAAACCACACTGGTAATAGTTTTGGCATAGGAGTATATTAGTTCCATAGAATAAACATGAATGGTTTTCAAATTTGTTAATTTTCTGATATATTTTTATAATACGGTGTTTTGGAATTGAAAACAACTACTGGGCCCAGAATAGAAGGACACAGAAAAGTCCTGCCTCTTCCACCTTTATTGACACTTTTTCTAACAAATGTATAAGGAAAATATAAAAATTATTTCTTTATTTTGCATGTTCTATTTCTGCCTCTTATTTGCCAAAACATGGTGAGAGAGAAAATGCTTGCATAAAGGGGCACTGGAACCCCATGTTCTGATCTTTCATTCTAATTTCACTAGAAAAAAATGCTGGTGGTCATAATCCACAGGACTGTATTTTTTGGTTGACAACAAGGAGCACCGAAGTCAAGCTTTTTTCACAATTGGAAATCCAAATCCAAAGAAAAAGTGTTTTTTAATGTGTTTTGGTGAAAAATAGAAACTAATTGTTTGGTCAAAAAAAAAAAAGTACTGGCTCTTGCCATATTATTTGCAGCTCAATTCTTAAAACAGGAAAATGGCTCCAAATACTGCCCCCAAGTATGTACCATCCTGACAAGGCTTTGATATCATTGATAGAAACAGCATTTTTATATAGAGGCCGTGCATTATACTGATTCCTCTGTAGACTTATTTTTGAACTGGTACCATCCTGCTCCTGACTACGGATGAAAACTCTGGCTGGAAAAACAAAACCCTGATTGTCTAACATAAAAGTAACATGTAACACAGAAAGTAAATAATATAAGAGAGCCTGATTGAACCTCCATTGCTAGTCGGTATGGTATTTTAAGCCACAGTGCATGTGCATGTATAAGTAATAGTCATATATAATATTCTCATATATTATATACTTATTACATACATGCACAGTACTTTCCAAGACAGCTACAAATTTACACATGCATCAACTATCTAAAAACATAGAAATAGATAAGCCTATTAAGTAGAATTTTCTTAAATTATATTTGAACAATCAACAGGAAAAGTAATCATGTAAAGTACTGCTCTGTTCTTGTATATATCTACAATAAAATTCTATAAACAGTTGTCTTCAAAACATACCCGAATAAAATTAAAAAAGGGTAATACCCAGTGTCCTATATTTGTATATTTATGGTCATTTCAAAAACAAACAAACAAAAGAGCCCCACTCAGGTGCATATTTACATTCTTCAAACTGTAGCGGTGAAAAATAATTCTATTAAGTGCAGGACATTCCTAATGTTGCAGTAGTGACATTTTTCTTAAGTCTTCATGACATTGCTTTTGTCTTAATGGTGACGCATTCCACGACTATGAGACAGTTCTCTGGTCCCCTTCATTTGCACACCGTGGTACAGTCCGGATTAAAGAGCTCCTTGTACAACGGAGGAAACAGTGTATTCACTATGTCTGGATGAGATTGCTTAAATACCTGCAGCTTCTCCCCGTGCAAGTTGCACACAGCTGTGATGGTTGGTATCTTGGCTATTAACTGCAGAGTGGAGACACAGGGAGGGAGACAAAGAAGGAAGCTCATTAGTGCTCTGTCCTCTGAATCAGTGTCTTCTCTGGTCCCAGATAAAGGTAAACGGCTTCGGAAAAAGATGTTCAGAATAAAAGCAGGCTTGCTTTCAACCTCTCTTTAGAACAAAACAACTCCCACCTGCAACTTCTAAGGGAAAAATCAAGAGAAAAAAAGAAAGCAGGGCCAAGCTTCCGGATTCATTGTTCTTAAATAAAGTAATATGGGACGTATTCTGGTATAATATTTACAAGTAGATGCTCTGCAGACAGGCTGCCTATGTCAGAATCCTGCTTCTAAAATAGCTTACTTACAATGTGGCTGCCACATACTTCTGTCTCAGTTTTCTTATTTGTAAAATGGGCTCTTTTTTTTTTGTTTTTTTTTTCCCCTGGTACTGGGAATCGAACTCATGACCTTGCGATTGCCCGGCAGGCGCTGTGCCGCTGAGTTAAATCCCCAGCCCCCAAATGGGCTTTTGGATAGTATCAGCTTAATGGTGTTGTTGCTTAGACTCAGTAATAATTTGCATAAAACTGTTAAGGATACTGTAGGTGGGGAGCACACCTGTTAGCTAATATTATGTCCCATCACTTCCTGCAGATCTGTATGACATGAATACTAAATTTTAACTTTGTAGGTGATAATGTTCGGAGACTATAGCCAACTGTGTGAGGTATAACCCATAATTATCTGTCTTTCTTGGCACTCAAATCCACTAAAACCATCAGTGTCCCTCGAATTCTTTTCCAGTGTAGGAATGAGATGAAACCTATGGTTAATCAAGAAAGAAGTCTGCAGGTCCCTGCCACTTAGCTCACTTAAGGAGGCATTTAGAAAATGAGTGAGAGAATATAAACTTTATAATTGGTATTTTAGACATTTACGTCTCAAGGAGGATGTCAGTTTTTGAGTTAATACCCAGAAGATAATGTTTTATAATAATTTAAAAAATCCACAGTTTGCTAAATGCTACATAGTTCTTAAGATATGAACAATTCCAGCTTTTAAGACACTTATAATTGAGGAGAATTTCAAATCCACTGTGTCAAAAGAAGTTTAAACAAACTTGTGATTATACTACTGTGAGGAGTGAGATATGTTCTCACTGAGAACAGTGTTCAGGAAGAGAACACGATAGCTCGTCTGGCGAATAGTCGTATGTCATACACTGAAAATGTTGATGTTAAAATGCAATGAAGTAAAACCCATCTCATCACCAATTAAGCCCATCATGCGCTCTACTCCTGTTCAATAATAAGAATCCACTCCAGCCTTTGAAGTAAAAGAGGAAATAATAATTACTTTTTTGTTTTTCAAAATCAGAAATTTCCATTCTTTAACTTTCTTTTAAACAGCTAATAACTGTATAACCTTACTCTGAGCTACTTAAAAATAGCACCAGGATTAGAGCCGTTGACACACTAAAGGAATCTAGAATACCTACAGGCCTCTGAGGGCTCAGACTTTCCAACCTACCATCTCCACTGCTACTGAAAGAGGGAGAGAAATGAAAAATGTATAGAGTATGTCTATAGGATAGATGTTAAATTTTACATTGGGAATCAAGACTTTCTCTCCAACATTATGAATTAAATTTTTTTCATTCATGGTACTCCATGATTAATTGCATGTTTACTATGTAGCATGCCCTCAGCTAGACACCAGAATGCACAAAACAGTTATGGTTCTTGTTTATAGTCTATGTGTGAAGACAGATGGGAATAAAGTTACCACACTGTCAAAAGCAGATGGAAAAACTGTGGTGAGAGCCATAGAATGGTGGCTCAGCAGGGGTAGCTAATAGTGTGTTCTGACTTCTTGTGGAAGCTGGAGAAGGCTTTCTTGAGGAGGTGACAGTGACTCTGACATCCAAAGGGAGAGCAGACAATAATTAGACACTGGGGGAGCAGAGATATTATACGCCCAGGATCACAGGTAAAGACACTGTGGTGCCTGGTGCACTAAAAGAAGTGAAGGTAGCGCAGGGTCTGCGCAGCACTGGGTGAGTGTGTGTGAGGGTAATTATAGAGAGATGCACAGGGCCAGATTACGGGAGCCCATGTGGTCCATATTCTTTGAAAGAATATTCAGCAACATAAACACAATCAGAACCTCATTCTGAGAGATTTACTATGAGTCCAGGTTGGAAAACTGTCTTTTCTATATCTTCATAGGTAAAGAGTGTATGAGCATCCACTTAACCAGAGTCTTTTGGAAAATTATTCAAGATTTCTTAACCAGGTGGCTCACATAGAAAACTGCAACAATTTACACACACTACAATTCTCTTGCACGTTACAATTCTGCCTGAAATAGCTATTGAATGCAGACAGTCTTTGAAAGTTTTCTACAATCACCTGCCATCGAATTGATAATGTGCAAAGCTCCTGAAACTTCCAGATGCAACCCTAATGATCATCAATCTTCAGTGTGCAGAAGAAACACCTGTGTGCTTCCTGCAACTGCAGGGATTTGTTCTCACTAAGTCTGAGTGGAGCTAAATGCCATGTTCAAAACAAATATCCCGGGCCAACACTGATGTTGTGGGTCCCTGAAAAAGACTTGGAAAACACTGGTGCAGAGGTTCAAATCTTATACATTTACAACTGGCTTTCAAGACTGAGAAGTAAACTCATCATATTTGAGGCAGTCCTGTTAGCTGAATATCAAGTTAGCTGGTTAACAGGAAGCAGACAAGGACATTATTATTTCTAGAGAGAGGTTTGAACTAACCTAGTTCTACTTAATCTGAGGAGAGAGAGATGATGACATTCCTGAGCTCCCTGAGGCACACAAACATTGCACAGAGAGGACTCTTCTAGGATAAAGAACATGGGTTTTGGAGGGAGCCTGGCTGGGTGTGGACCCTTGCTCTGCCATTTACAGTTGTGAGATCTTGGGCAAGTCCCCTGACCTCTCAGCTTCCTGATCAGCTAGGTAGATGGATGGAGATTGTAACAATCCCTGCCTCTGAGGCAAGCTGAAAGGAATTCTCGAGCACACACAAACGTTTGCGCAGTGATGCCTGGTGTGCAGTGGAAACATAAACAGTGAACGTCATGCATCTATTTCTGTTGTCATACTTCCTTCAAGGAGAGGAAGCCTCAAGGCCATGATATTCAGTCAAATGACATGGTGGGCAGAACTCAGTTTAACCCTTTACCAAGCACCAAATCTGCGTCTCAGTATTTTGCATGTTATGGCATGGGACAACCAGCCATTTACTTTCACTGAAAGGAAAAAGAAAAATTATAAAGACTTTGCCTTTTCTTATAGTAATCAAGTTGTCCTTTTTATTAGCTGTGAGTTTCATTCATCCCTAGTTCTGCCCCTTTTTTATGGGGTTTAAATCCTGTCTCTTTTGCTCATCTCTAGGATGGGCCAGATGTTTAAAGAGAACACGAACCACTGTAGCGAAGAGCACTGACAAAGGTAAAGCATCTCTGCAACCCCCAAGCTCTCAGAAAAGGCTGGTTGAGAGATGGTGTCCAGTCAGTTGTGAGAGGAAGTGCTGGCGAGCCACCATTCTGTAGGCCGGATGGGCCAGGAGGCTGCACAGAGCAGCGGCAGCCCTTGTCAGAGCCCAGAAGGGTCTGGCAAGGAAGCAGCAGGCAGTCACTTATTGCTCATTAATATTATGTACTGCGGCTCGGAGACTCCCATTTCAAAGGGAGCTCAGAGAAGTCTCAGCAGCAGTTAATGGTTCAACAACTTTTTAAACAGTTGGGGAGGTGATCCGGAAGCGCTTGGAGGTGGAGGGTGTAGTCAATTGCAAATCATCGTGAAATTCCTTCATGTTTATGTAATCCCCATAGCAGAAGCAGACAGAGGGTTACAAAAGCTAGTTCCATACTCATCTCTGGCTTATGGCAAACATTTCTAGTAAGAAGGAAGCTTTAGCTACAGGAATCTACAAGAATAAGGAGCAGCTATTTAGGAAAAGATAATAATCCTATGCTTCTCTCCAGAGGATGGATTAAGGAGAAAATTCACAATTTTATAACTGGTACATCTGAGGTTGGAGAAATGGGATATACAGAGGGTAAAACTAGCAATTATGTGCAGGTGGGCTTTCAGACTATCAGGACACCTGTCAACCTGCAGCAAGAAGCCAGCAATGATTTGATCAAAGTAGAAGAAACTTCCAGAGCATTCATCAAATTAGGGTACATAAAGTAAAGCTGAACACACCCATTTCCCATGCTTCCTTCCCTCCCTTTCTTCCTTGCTTCATTTCTTTCTGATTCTAATTTTTGTTTAGCCAAAAACTAGACACTCGGATTAAAATATAATATTGAATTCGAGCTATTTTCCCAGGTGATCAGCCTCAATCCTACCTGTCCTTGGCATCCCTATTGCTGTGTATGTTCTTTCTACTCTGGGCATCACCAGCAAAAGCGGAAGTGGACACTGGTTTAGCTGTGGTTGGAATTTAGAACCAGACAGAGCTAGCAAGACACTTTCTAAATGTAGAAGAGACTGCAAATAATCCAAGGAGCTAAGAGCTGGCGTATTTCACCATGTGGATGGGGAAGCAAAGAAAACTGTATTCAGGGAGGGGGAACACTGAAGTAGACACCTAAAGAGAGATAAACACAAAATGGAGATTCTGAGGGTTCTCCATCCATTGTTCCAATGGTGACAGAATTTCTCACTTTAGGTTCTGTGATTATTTCTCTATTATTTCAGTTGATTTTTATTGTTTTGGCTTAAGCTATTTGGAACTGGCTCCTGTTACATATAACCAAAGAACTCTAATGAATTCATAAACTTGCAACTTGATGAGTGTAGAATAACACCTCTCATTTACAATCCTTTCATTTGATGGGCAAACTTTGGAATTTTAGACTTACAATGTATACTAGCAGACTATAAACAGCTCACAGAGATAGGAATAACCTAACCTCTCACAGAATTTCTTGAAGGGAACTGGCATGTGTTTGCTATCTACCGCTCTCTTGTTTACT